TTTCAGGACCAACCCTTCCCCAAAACAATCAACCAAATAAATGAAAACTGCAGGATACCTCGTCGCCTAAAGCCAACACTCCACTTTGAGATCTTGGTCTCAAATAGTGCCCCTGACATACAAGAATGCCCCTTCAGAGAAGGCAAATAGCTCCAGACCTAAAATCACAGCTCCTCACATTTTAACAGACCATAGATTATTACTTCCCATTAAAAAGAGCACAAAAATCCAGCAGCAAATAACATCAGTGCTGCTTTCTCATGTTAAGAGCCAATGAGTTTTATTAAAGACATACTCCAATACCGTAATCTTCAAACTACACCACTGATAGGAATAAATGCTCCTGAGGAGTCCAAGCAGTGGACCAGAAGTTGAAAACTGTATGTACGTGAAATCTTATAAACATATTTTCCTTAGCTCACATTAATTTAAGAAAACAAAAAACTACTCTGTACAATCAAGTAGACTGTTCAATTGAAATAAAATATTAACATGGAAGCAACCTAGATGCCCATCAGCAGACGAATGGATAAGGAAGCTGTGGTACATATACACCATGGAATATTACTCAGCCATTAAAAAGAATTCATTTGAATCAGTTATAATGAGATGGATGAAACTGGAGCCCATTATACAAAGTGAAGTAAGCCAGAAAGATAAAGACCAATACAGTATACTAACACATATATATGGAATTTAGAAAGATGGTAACGATAACGCTATATGCAAAACAGAAAAAGAGACACAGATGTACAGAACAGACTTTTGGACTCTGTGGGAGAAGGCGAGGTTGGGATGTTTCGAGAGAACAGCATCGAAACATACATATTATCTAGGGTGAAACAGATCACCAGCCCAGGTTGGATGCATGAGACAAGTGCTCAGGCCTGGCGCACTGGGAAGACTCAGAGCGATCGGGTAGAGAGGGAGGTGGAAGCGGGGATCGGGATGGGGAATACATGTAAATCCATGGCTGATTCATGTCAATGTATGACAAAAACCACTACAATATTGTGAAGTAATCAGCCTCCAACTAATAAAAATAAATGGAAAAAAAAATCATTTGAACCATACAAATAAAGTTACTAAAGACGAAATAAAAAATATAAAATAAATAAATAAAATATTAGATTAGTTCACTTTCTTAGTCACATTATCCACATTTCAAGGTGCTTTGGGCTACATGAGGCTGGTGGTTTTGTTGTAGTTCAGTCGCTAAGTCGTGTTGGACTCTTTTCAACCCTGTGGACTGCAGCCCGCCAGGCTTCTGTGTCCATGGGATTTCCCAAGCAAGAACACTGGCGTGGGCTGCCATGCCCTCCTCCAGGGGAGCTTCCCGACCAGGGATCAAACCTGCGCCTCCTGCACTGGCAGGTGGATTCTTTACCACTGACCCACCAGGGAAGCCCTGTGGAAAGCACAGTCATAGAACATTTCCATCATCACGGAAAGTTCTACTGGACAGTGTGATATTTAAACTGACAAACATCTTTAAAACAAACAGTCAAAAACAAACAAATAGAAAACAAATCTCATAAAGAAATATAGATTTCTACTTTCTCTTGAAAACTCGTATCTGGAAACCCTGGGCTGGATCCCCCCTGGTGGAGCTGGAGAGAGGGAACAGCACCGCCGCCCTCGCTGGTGGGGCGTGTGTGCTCAGGCCGCTGTGACGCCCAGCCTCCGCAGCTGTCTCACAGCAGCGCTTCACCACGCACTCAGGGCCTGGATTTCTACTTGAGCCTTTAGAGTGGAAGTGAATACTATGAGATTATCTCAGTTTCTACTCAATAGAGCCCCAAACTATTTCGGACGATCAAGTTCAACTAAAAGATCACAATTAACCTGATACTTTATTTTTACGTGTATTTTTTTTTTTTTTTTTGTAAAATTTTCTAGACCAGGATCTTCTAGAAAGGATCTCTAGAGTTTAGAGATCTCTAGAGTATATCTACCAGCATCTATGAAATAGATATAAATACTTTATTTGAACTATTTTTATTAAAAATTTGGTAATTCAAGTACACAGATTTGAAATTTTATTTTTAAAATAGACATATTAAAAAATCATAGTTTTTAGAGACCTAAGGAATTTGAGGGAATCTCCTTTAACAGATGAGAAATCCAAGCCCCAGAGTTTAAGGAATGTACTTTAAGTTGAACTGCTGAATAAGATCAGAGCCAGAGCTCTTTCACCCTTTCTCTTCACTATGGCCAAGTGATACTACAGCACCCTGTACTTCCTCAAAGACAGCCACACCATTATGTAACCCAACATATAATATGATTGGTGACACCTCTCCAGCAAGAGATAGTCTACACCTCTCCTGTTAAACATGAACAGAGTTTTCTAATTGCCTCGGCCAAGGGAATGCATACTCAGTACTGGATGATTTCCAACACTAACTAGGATAAGGCGACATGGCTTCTGCCTGGCGCTCCCTCTCAGAGCATTCGCCTGAGGAGGCTCAGGCTACGTGAGGGTATTCTAACCCAACAGCCCAGCCATGCCCCCAGCTAAAAGCCAGCATCAATTGCCAGACGCTGACAGAACGTATCTCCAGACTGTTGTCAGAGCTGCTCCAGGTCTTTGCTCAAACCCTCCAACCCCCACCTTTAGCCAGGGTGTCCTTGCTTAAAACCAGTCAAACAATCCCCTACCTCCACCCACACGTTTAGTAAAAGTGAACATAAATTTTTAAGTTAAAGGGTCCAGAGATAAGAAAGGAAGCTACAAGCAAAGACTCAGATGAAACCAGATGAGACCAACCAATGAATCTGACCTCCAACTATAATGACCCTGAGTCATCTTATACATTGATTTCTATGATATTAGCATATTAAATGGCAAACCTACCAACAGTGATGACCAGACATTAATGACAAAAAAAGGATAAAAAGGAAGCAGCACCCCACTCCCTGAGGGTGGGGGGAGCCCTACCTTTCCTGGCAGACTAACGCATACAGCCAAAGATGCTTGGAGAACACACACAAAAAACCTTCTGTGATCCAGGACCCCAAGGAAAGGAGCAGTGACCCCCCACAAGAGACTGAGCCAGACCTGGCTGTGTTTGAGGGTCTCCAGCAGAGGCATGGGGCCTCATGGAAGACAAAAAAAGTCAGTGGAGGTGATGGAATTCCAGCTGAGCTATCTCAACTCCTAACAGATGATGTTGTTAAAGTGCTGCACTCAGTAATATGACAGCAAATGTGGAAAACTCACCAGTGGCCACAGGACTAGAAAAGGTGTTTTCATTCCAATCTCAAAGAAGGGCAATGCCAAAGAATGTTCAAACTGCTGCACAACTGCACTCATTTCACATGCTAGCAAGGTAATGCTCAAAATCCTTCAAGCTAGGCTTCAACAGTATGTGAACCAAGAACTTCCAGATGTACAAGCTGGATTTAGAAAAGGCAGATGAACCTGAGATCAAATTGTCAACATCTGCTGGATCACAGAATAAGCAAGGGAATTCCCAAAAAACACCTACTTCTGTTTCATTGACTATGCTAAAGCCTTTGACTGTGTGGATCACAACGAACTGTGGAAAATTCTTAAAGAGATGGGAATACCAGACCACCTTATCTGCCTCTTGAGAAACCTGCATGTAGGTCAAGAAGCAACAGTTAAGACTGGACATGGAACAACGGACTGGTTCAAAATTGGAAAAGGAGTACATCAAGGCTGTATATTGTCACCCTGCTTATTTAACTTCTATGCAGAGTACATCATGTGAAACGCTAGGCTGGATGAAGCACAAGCTGGAATCAAGACGACTGGGAGAAATATCAACAACCTCAGATATGCAGATGACACCACCCTTATGGCAGAAAATGAAGAGGACCTAAAGTGCCTCTTGGTGAAGGTGAAATAAGAGTGAAAAAGCTGGCTTAAAACTCAACATTCAAAAACTAAAATCATCGTATCCGATCCCATCACTTCATGGCAAATAGATGGGGAAACAATGGAAACAGTGAGAGACTTCATTTTCCTGGGCTCCAAAATCACTGCAGATGGTGATTGCAGCCATGAAATTAAAAGATGCTTGCTCACTGGAAGAAAAGCTATGACGAACCTAGACAGCATATTAAAAAGCAGAGACATCACTTTCCTGACAAAGGTCCATATAGTTGAAGCTATGGTTTCTCTAGTAGTCATGTATGGATGTGTGAGTTGGACCATAAAGAAGACTGAGCGCCGAAGAACTGATGCTTTTTAACTGTGGTGCTAGAGAAAACTCTCGAGAGTCCTTTGGACTGTAAGGGGATCAAACCAATCAATCCTAAAGGAAATCAATCCTGAGTATTCATTGGAAGGACTGATACTGAAGCTGAAGCTCCAATCCTTTGGCCACCTGATGTGAAGAGCCAACTCACTGGAAAACATTCTGATGCTGGGAAAGACTCAGGGCAGGTGAAGGGGGCAACAGTGGATGAGATGGTTGGATGGGATCATCAACTCAACAGACATGAGTCTGAGCAAGAGTTTGGGGATATAGTAAAGGACAGCAAAGCCTGGCGTGCTGCAGTCCATGGGGTCGCAAAGAAACAGACACGACCAAGCAGCTGAACAACAACTATTGCCAACTGGGCAAGAAGTTGATCTGTGAACACAGTTCCTGCTTCTCCATTCTTCGGCCAGTGAATAAGGCTTGTGTTGAGTCAGTCTCAATCAGGGTCCATGGGATGTAGTCAGTAACAAGATGATTCCAGCATCATCCCTCTGAGTCTTCCCCTTGAAGCCTCAGACATCCTGGAGCAGAAATAAGCCATCCCTGTTCTGTCTTGTCTGAACTTCTGACCCACAAAAACTCCAAGATAAATACTTATTGTTGTTTTAAGTTACTAATTTCTAGGATAACTAATCACACAGCCATCACAATTGGGGTCGATGCTTTCAGACCACCACCGATTAACTTAGGAATAGAAATTTGATAAATATTTGTGTGATGCAACAAATATTGCCAACTCAAATAAAATAAAATGCTGATGCAGCCTACCATTCAGGGGGCACCATGCTTCCATCCACATCCCAGAATGTGTTTTTGCCATTCATTTCAGTAGTATATATAACCCATCGGTGACGGCCTGGATGGAAAGATCAAGGTGTAGTTTAGAGAGATGTGAGGAGATAAAGACCAGCTTTCTAAAACAGCATAATTGCATAGTATCAAAGTAATCTTTTTATTAAGAAAAGACTTTTATATGCTCTTATGTGAGAGAAAGAGAACTACAGAGACCCGGATGTACTACTGCAGGCAAACTCCAGGAAGGACAGGGCAAGGTTTATCAACAACCTAGCAGCCACCTCAAGAAAACCCCTCTAGGGCAATGAGCTAACTCTGTGGGTGGGGCTCAGGCCTTTTCCACAATGCAGAACCCTTGCTTCTCCCCCAGGCCCCCTGCCAAGCGGGTATTAGAGAGGGAAGGGGAATATGTTCCCAGTCATTCTGGGTATTCAGGAGAGAAAAGCACTCCTCCTGAAACTGGGGCAAGAGAAATGTATTCACAGCAATCACATTTGAGCTACAGGTTTCCATATAAATATTTTTAAATACCATCAGAGATTCTTTAGGAAATTGGTGGTTATTACATAATAAGCAAACATTATATATGACGGTTAGATAAGTAGAACAGCTCATGATATCCAAATAGTATGGCTGCATGTTTTAACAAATTTCTATGAAGCAGCTGAGAGCCTAACCACAATTTACAAAACTGTTAGGCAAAGGCCTGTATTTTAATGAACACTGTCACTTTTTTTCCTTTTACTTTTTATTGGGGTATAGTTGATTTACAATGATGTGTTTCAGGTGTAGAGCAAAGTGAATCTGTTTTATATATATATATATATATATATATATATATATATATATATATATCCACTCTTTTTTAAGATTCTTTTCCCAGATAGGCCATTACAGAGTGTTAAGTAGAATTCCCTGTGCTATACAAGATGGTCATTTATTATCAGTGCAAGTTATTTGTTAGGCAATTTATGAGCCTCAGTTTCTTTAACTATTAAAAGTGGATGATCATACCCACATCTTAACGTTGCTATGAAAATTAAATATCACACACACACACCTAGTTTAGTATCAGGCACATAAGTGCATAATAAACATTAATTTCTTTCATCTCTTCCTCACTGCCCTCACCCCCACAAAGGGAATACTGAATTCATCCCTGTAATGAATTTTAAGCCAATAAGCAAAATGATGCCATGATAGAGCTGGGCTTTAACAATCTCATCATCTATATATATCAAAATTTTAAATGTGCATACTCAGACTCAGCAATTCCACTTACAGGAATTTACTCTTAGAACACTTACACAAGTGAATGTGGACATTGTTACAACCAAGTTCACCGCAGCAATGTCTCTAACAGCAAAAAGTTGAAGGCAATGTAAGTGTCTACCAATAGTGAACTATTCAAGAAAATAATGGTTCTTCCATACAGTGGAATAGTGTGGCTATTAAAAAGAATGGTGTGAAAATTTGTAAAATAAGAAAACACAAAACAAGTGTTCAAACAGAAAAGAATGCTGTAGATACCTTCAACTTACTATGGGAAAAATGACCCATGATTTTTAAGGAAAAGTATTTCAGTTTACAAACAACATGCATTACATAATTTTAAAAAATGAATGCTTACATATTCACTGAAGAATCTTGAAATATATATATATATAAAACACTATTAAAGTGGGGTAAAACTATGAGACAAGGAAGCTTTCCTTTTTCACTTCATACACTAAGTTTCAATGTTTTACAACAAAATATATCATTTTTTAAATCAGCAAAAGTAAAGATATTTCCAGTGTGAGGCAAAAACATAAAGAAGAAAAGGGGAAAAATGAAGGAAGTTTAATATTATACTAGTTTGTAACAAAGGAGAAGGCAATGGCACCCCACTCCAGTACTCTTGCCTGGAAAATCCCATGGACAGAGGAGCCTGGTAGGCTGCAGTCCATGAGGTCGCGAAGAGTTGGACACGGCTGAACAACTTCACTTTCACTTTCATGCATTGGAGAAGGAAATGGCAACCCACTCCAGTGTTCTTGCCTGGAGAATCCCAGGGACGGGGGAGCCTGGTGGGCTGCTGTCTATAGGGTCACATAGAGTCGACACGACTGAAGCGACTTAGCAGCAGCAGCAGCAGTTTATAACAAAGCAATGAATAGAAAGAATTTTGGCCTGGGGCTCTGCCACTACCTAGATGTTATTTAATTAAGTTCCTTCTGGATAAGACATTTTCTTGGGCCTCAGTTTTTTTCTCTATTAAAAAAAACCAAACAGCTTTTTGATAATCTCTTAAAATCAACTGCAGGCCTAAAACTATGATTTGCCTAAATATTAAAATATTATGGTTACAGAGTGTTAAGGTATTGCTGTCTACTCCTTGTAGACCAAACTGTATCCAATGAAATCACACATGGATACATGATTTACATATTCCTAAAAATATTATTAAGGTCCATGACCAAGTTTCCTCTGTAAAATGAGGGAGGGGGAGGATTCAAGTGCTTACCTCCAGTAGATGTTAAATATTAAAGTAGATAATGTATGTTATATGTGTTTAGAATGCACATGGCACTCAAGGCCATTTTATTTCACCTTGTAAGTTTTTCCCCTATTATTCCCTCTCTGATACTATTAATCTCAATCAAAAGATAATTTTTTTATTATAAAAAAACAAATGCACATGGCAAAAAATTTCCAACAGTTCAAGAAGGTAATAATAATAGCAACAGTAGTATAATACTTTTTGAGCACTTACAGCCCGAGCAATAGGCCAGTGGTTCTCAACAGGGGGCAACTTTGCCCCCAGGGGACACTTGGCAAAGTCTGGAGACATTTTTGGTTGTCACAAGTGCAGAAGGGAAGTGTTCCTGGCACTTGGTGGGTCGATACCAAGGATGCTAGCATTCCATAATGCACAGACCAGCCCCTCACAACAGAGAATTAATCTTGTTGAGGCTGAAGTCCTACATTTGGGTAAGCTCCTCCCATTCACTTTTAATCTATTTTTTATACAAGTTTATGAGGCAAATATTATTATGATGCTGCTTTATAACATGAGGAAGCTGGGGCTGAGAGACATTAATGAAGTAAACTTCAGAGTTACAAAGTTTCAACATGGAGGAACAGAACTTCACCACCTGATAATACTTCTAAGTTTCTTGTATTTCCTTCCAGCATTTGGAATATGAACACAAAAAGCTTAATTTTCTTCCAATGAGGATATCAAACATTGTTCTGCACCTGGAGTTTCTTGTGTCACAAACATCTTTGACATCTTTCTATATAAAATGTACTGGTTTATATCATTCTTAATAACAACAAAGTATTATAAAAAATGCAATTCATCAGTATCCAACTGATGCACCATTAATGTTGCTTATAGAATTTACTAGTAAAACAATGCTGCAATGGTTGTTTTTGTTTTGCAAGAATATTTAAGGTGGATTCCTAGAAGTTGAAGTGCTAGGACAAAAGATATGTACAATGTAAATTTTAAGAAAATTTACTGACTGTCCTCCAAAAGGACTGTACTGATGTATATACCTTAAAAAAATATATATTTATTTAGCTGGCTATACCAGGTCTTAGTGGTGGCACATGTGATCTTCAGTCTTCCTTGTGGCATGCAGGATCTTTAGTTGTGGAATGTAAACTCTTAGGGCATGTGGGATCTAGTTCCCTGACCAAGGATTGAACCTGGGCCCCCTGCACTGGGAGCATGCCGTCCAAGCCACTAGACCACCAGGGAAGTCCTAATGTATATAGTCTTATGACATTTCCCCAATAAGTATTTATCAGATTGGCAAATACTTCAAAATTCAACAGGTGAAAAAAGATAACGCTGTTTTCTGAGCTGCATTTCTGTAATTACAAGTGAGGATGACAGGGATAAATTAGGAATTTAGATTTAAAATATACACACTACTATACATAAAATAGATAACCAAAAAGGACCTTAATATGTTGTAATAACCTATAAAGGAAGAGAATGTAAAAAAAGAATGTGTATTTATCCACACATACATGAATCCCTTTGCTGTACACCTGAAACACTGTAAATCAACTGCATTTCAATAAAAATTGAAAAATAAAAAAATCATGTATTCTTTTAATAAAACGTAAGAATGAGCATCTTTTCATGCCTTTGTGGGTGACACAGTTTTCTTTTCCTGCAGATTATCTTTTTCTTTCTTCTATTGAGTTCTTCATCCTTTTACAAGTACTTTGTAAAAGCACATTATGGAAAACAAAGTAAAATCAAATCCCAATCTCACTCCCATTACTTATACCCCAAAATACTGCACTTACCAAAAAACTGCTTGTTGTCTTCATAGTATTTATTTCCATATTTGTCTTCTCCCACTAACGTGCCAACCCTCACATCATTTGCCCTGGGAATGTCCAAAAGAAAACAGACATTTTGGAAAGATTCTTTATTTACAACACATAGGTAAAAGAGAGTATTAACTTTCACAAACATAGGCAGCTGTGCCAAGGAGAAAAACTAGGAGGTGCTGGGTATGGTCCCCGATTGTATACTTCCAGCACAAGAGAAGAGAAACTAAGCCAACAGATATGCCTTAAATACACTAAATATATAGACGCAATACCTTCAAATTACAAGACTACCTTAAAAAATCTATTATCCCTAGGCCTGAGGCACTGGAGTTAACAATAAATTTCAGGAAACCTGGAAATTAAAGTGTAACAATAAATTTCAGGAAACCTGGAAATTAAAGTGTTTCATCTTAAAATGATACGGACACCTGGCTCTTTCATTCGGCTCTAGGTCTCTAACTCCGTTTCCCCGGACGATGCTGCTCGTCCAATTCACCGAGTTGAAGGACTAGTCGGGGAAAATTGTAATCACTTCGTTTAACTCCTTACAGTACACGGAAGGGAAGTGAAGGCCTGCGAAGGAAGGGAAAAAACCCCGAAAGTTTCCCAAGGTCACGCAGTGTGAGCTTTTGGCAGGCTCATTACTCTCCAGGAAGCAGAGCAGGGGTGCAGCCCATATATGCCCTCACCTCTGTCACAGATCTGTCTCTACAGCCGGCTTTGATCCCGTCTCCGGGAGACCCCGGGACAGACTTCCGCCCGGGGGAAGCCAGGCTGACTTGGCCGGTTGTCCTTGAGAAGAGTTGCGGATGCTCCAAGGTGACCCAAGCCCGAACCCCTTTCCAAGAAACCAGCCAGGGTAAATCCAGTCTCAGAAGCCAAGAGCATGGCTGGCTGCCTACCTGAACAAAACTCGAAGATAGCCGCGGAGGCCACCGTGGCCGCTGACCTGCTGCAGCCCGCGCTTCAGGACCTGCAACAACTCCATCTTGTCCTGCAGGCCCCGCCTCCCCGGCGCGCCGCGGAAAACCCACCGGCGGAACCAGCCACTCAGCGGCAGGGAGCCGACGAAAGTTCCCAAGCACGCGCTGCAGGCGGAGTTGGTTTTGCGCATGCGCCGGTCTGGAGCTCCCTCTTGTGGCCTCCGCCCGTTTGCCAGAGAAGATGCTGCTGCTGCTAAGTCTCTCCAGTCGTGTCCGACTTTGTGCGACCCCGTAGACGGCAGCCCACCTGGCTCCGCCGTCCCTGGGATTCTCCAGGCAAGAACACTGGAGTGGGTTGCCACTTCCTTCTCCAATGCATGAAAGTGGAAAGTGGAAGTGAAGTCGCTCAGTCGTGTCCGACTCTTCACGACCCCATGGACTGCAGCCCACCAGGCTCCTCCGTCCATGGGATTTTCCAGGCAAGAGTACTGGAGTGGGGTGCCATTGCCTTCTCCGAGAAAATGAGCTTGGTTGTTGTCCCTCCAGAGCTGAGCTTTCAGAGATGCCATTTAGAAGACAGGACAAGTGGAAAAATCACCTATACTAGTGTTTCCCAGGTGAAGTTTTCTCCTTTGGGGACCTCAGTTTCCTCATCTAAAGTGATTGCTTCAGACTACTCCAAAAATCCTTTCTAGAGTCAAGATTCTTTAAGTTACCATTAAGGAATTCAGTGTTAAGCACAAAATGATTATTCCACATTTGAAAGTAAGTACATTTGATACTACCGTTGTGTTGGTAGGCCATTGAGGAAGAGGAATAGAAAAGTACAAGATTAAGTGCCTACTGCCAAGGACTTAATGATTCAGTTTCAAGTTTAAAATTTTAAATATTTAAGGTGTATTTGAAATAATAAACTAATTTCTAATTTAAATTAGATGCATATTTAATTTTTTAAATAATCAGTTCAATTCAGTTGCTCAGTTGCGACCGAGTCTGAGACCCTGTGAACTGCAGCGCGCCAGGCCTCCCTGTCCATCACCAGCTCTGGGAGCTTACTCAGACTCATGTCCATCGAGTCGGTGATGCCACCCAGCCATCGCATCCTCTGTCATCCCCTTCACCTGCCTTCATTCTTTCCCAGCATCAGGGTCTGTTCCAATGAATCAGTTCTGTGCATCAGGTGACCAAAGTTTTGGAGCTTCAGCATCAGTCCTTCCAATGGATATTCAGGACTGATTTCCTTTAGGATTGACTGGTTTGATCTCCTTGTTGTCCAAAGGACTCTCAAGAGTCTTCTCCAGCACCACAGTTCAAAAGCATCAATTCTTTGGTGCTCAGCTTTCTTTATAGTCCAACTCTCACATCCATACATGACTACTAGAAAAACCATAGCTTTGACTAGACAGACCTTTTTCAGCAAAGTAGTGTCTCTACTTTTTAATATGCTGTCTACATTTGTCATGGCTTTTCTTCCAAGGAGCAAGCGTCTTTTAATTTCATGGCTGCAGTCACCATCTGCAGTGATTTTGGAGCCCAAGAAAATAAAGTTTCTCACTGTTTCCATTGTTTCCCCATCTATTTGCCATGAAATGATGGGACTAGATGCCATGATCTTAGTTTTCTAAATGTTGAGTTTTAAGCCAACTTTTTCACTCTCCTCTTTCACTTTCATCCAGAAGCTCTTCCGTTCCTCTTTGTCTTCTGCCATAAGGGTGGTATTTCTGCCATTTTTAAATAATAAAAGGCATTAAATGAACATTATTTTTTCTAACATCTAACTTTATGTCTTTCAATATGCTTTAAAACATATACTCCTTGATCCGTCAGTTTGAAATAGTCCTCTGATTCCCAGCTATTTGAGATGAGAAACTTGGAACACAGTCACTTTCTTCATCACTTCTCATCTTTCGTGCTTCCAGATGACAGTTTCCCATATCATTTCTTTAAAAACTTCAAGGTTTCTAAGATTTACACTCTATTCCATAACTGCAAGTCTTCATAATTGTCTAAAGAGTTTTAAAAATTGAAACACGTTATTTCCTGAGAGGACCGAGTAGTAAGATTGGACCCAGACAAGTAATGTCACACTACTAAATCTTCAACCCCAAAAAGAGAAATCTCCAAATGTTAGGATCAAATTTTATTTTCTGAGACTCAATCACTCAAAATTATGTAACATAGGAATTTATTTTATGCTGAAATGTGACTCATGGGCTTTCCACAGGCTTGTTTTGTTTTTTAAAAACTCCATCTTCTTCCACAATATAAAAATTACTCTAAAGGCATAACCATATTACTATTATCTCACCGGAAAAAGTTAATAACTGATTACTATAAAATATCTGCTGAAAAATGTTCAAATTTCCACAATCATTTAATAATCATTTAATAACTTCCATATTTTATAACTGATTTTCTTTTAATATATGATTCCCCCATTTCCCACCCCTTGTTTTTTTTTTTTTTTCCTAGAAGTTTTTTATTTTCAAAATGTCCCTCCCAGCTGCTATCTTCAAAGTGTACTCTGTCTGCAGCTGGTGCAGGCCAAGAAGGAAGTGGTTTGTCCCTCCCCGTCTCAGGATGCTTTCTGGGGCCACTGATCACGGCTGGGAGCCAGAGGCCACGGGTGCAGTTAGACGGTGCTGAGAACTTGGTAATGATCCCCCTGAGCCCCCAGCCCCAGTCTGAGCCAGGCTCTTCTCTCTTCATCAGTCGCGTGTGTCCTTACGTCACTCCAGCCGTTGTTTGTGTGTGTGTGTGGCTTCGTCGGGGCTTTGCTGCGGCACACGGGACCTTTGCTGCGTCATGGGGGAGTTTTCATCACAGCACTCAGACTCTGGTTGTGGGTTCTAGAGCACTCGGGCTTAGTTGCCCTGTGGGGGGTGGGATCTTAGTTCCCCGAGCAGGGAGCGAACCCTCGTCCCCTGCATTGCAAAGACTGAAAGTGAAGTAGCTCAGTCATTTCTGACTCTTTGCGACCCCATGGACTGTAGCCTACTAGGCTCCTCCATCCCCAGGATTCTCCAGGCAAGAGTACTGGAGTGGGTTGCCATTTCCTTCTCCCCACCCCTTGTTTTTTGTCCTTCCAGTTTATTTGACAAAAAAACTGGTAATTTCTCCTGTAGAGTTTTCCACTGTCTGGATTTTGTTGTGTCCTTGTGTTCTATCCCCTGTATTTCTGTTAGTATTAAACCTAGGTACCTAACAAGATTTGTGTTCATTTTTTTGTTATCTTTCCATTCAGGAACATATATGGTGTCTGCTTGCCTCATTTTTTGTGATTTTAGCTGTCACTGCTAAGCATTGTCTAAATAATTTCATTCCTTCATTAGCCACAAATCTCCTATAAAGAGAAAAGAGGGTGTGTGTGCTCAGTCCTGTCCAACTCTTTGCAGCCCCACTGACCTTAGTCCGGCAGGCTTCTCTGCCCATTCATTTTTCCAGGGGAGAATTCTGGAGTAGGGTGCCATTCCCTTCTCCAGGGGATCTTTCCGACCCAGGGATTGAACCCATGTCTCCTGCATCTCCTTCATTAGCAGGCAGATTCTTTACCAGTAACACCACCCTGGGAAGCCCTATAAAGAGAGAACTTCCTCTCAACTATTTGGTTCCTGAAATACCATTCATATAGTTATTAATTCTATAATTAATTAGGCTTAATTCTCTCCCTTGTGGAACAGTTTTCAAAAGCACAATTTGGTTTCCTAGCATCCTGTGGGGGGGGGGCAAAAAAATCCATAAAATTTACCATCTTGTTTTAAAGTGTATAATACAGTAGTGTTACCTATATATATTTTTTTGTGCAGCAAATCTAGAACTTTTATATCTTATAAAACTGAAACTCTCAACCCACAGAACAATACTCCCCTTTCTCTCTATACTAGGTTGTGCTGTGCTTTGCTAAGTCACTTCAGTTGTATCTGACTCTTTGTGACCTTATGGACCATAGCCCGCCAGGCTCCTCTGTCCATGGGATTCTCCAGGCAAGAACACTGGAGTAGGTTGCCATGCCCTCCTCCAGGAGATCTTTCCGACCCAGGGAACACCCAGGGATAGATTGAACCTGCATCTCTTACATGTCCTGCATTGGCAGGTGGATTCTTTACCACTCCCTGGTAGCTCAGTTGGTAAAGAATCAGCCTGCAATGCAGGAGACCCCAGTTCAATTCCTGGGTGGGGAAGATCCCCTGGAGAAGGGGAAGGCTACCCACTCCAGTATTCTTGGGCTGCTCTGGTGGCTCAGCTGGTAAAGAAACCTCCCGCATTGCGAGACCTGGGTTCAATCCCTGGGTTGGGAAGATTCCCTGGAGAAAGGCTACCCAGTCCAGTATTTTGGCCTGGAGAATTCCACGGACTGTATAGTCTGTAGGGTCACAAAGAGTTGGACTCAACCAGGCGACTTTCACTTTCTTTACCGCTAGCACCACCTGGGAAGCTCCTATTGGAGCTCCTATTGGGTCACCAGCACCCAATAACCACTATTCTTTCTAAGAGTATGACTACTTTAGATACCTGCTATAAATGAAATCACACAGGACTTGTCTTGACTCAGACAGTAAAGAATCTGCCTCGGTTCAGGAAGATCCCCTGGAGAACGGTATGGCAACCCACTCCAGTATTCTTGCCTGGAGATTTCCATGGACACAGGAACCTAATCAGCTACAGTCCCTGGGGTCACAAAGAGTTGGACACAACTAACACTTTCACTTTTATCTTACTTAGCATGCTATCCTTAAGTTTCATCCACATTGTAGGATGAAATCCATGTGACAGGATTTCTTTTTGTAAGGCTGAGTAATACTCTGTGTACATATCACTTTTTCTCTATCCATTCATCTTTCAGTGGGTATTTTTGGTTGCTTTCATCTCTTAGCTATCATGAACAATGCTGCAGTAAACATGGGCATGTATACATCTCTTCCAGATATGTTTTCAATTCCCTGGGATATAAGTGTGTGTGTGTGTGTGTATTAAAAGGATGTGTTAAAGGCATAATCTTTCACCATGGATTGATTTTTAAGATTTCATTTTTTCCTAAAGTGTCATTTCTGCTTGTTTTAAAATA